TTTGCTTATTATCCAAGATAGATTAACTACTAACAGATCATTCGTATCATTACGTTAAAATCTTTTCAACACTTTTCAATAATGATAAAAAATCTTATCTCCATTATCTCAACCAATCCAAGCAACAATATTTACACGTTGATACACTTTATTAAAATTATTTATGGATGATAAATGTTTCAAACTTTGTTTGTCCTCGGTCGACATCAATAGGCAAAGAATACATCCCGACACTAATACACGTCACATTGCTACACACAAAAGCACAGCTAATAATTAGTAACCAAGGCAATATCGAAAATCCAACTGCGTCGGACACTGTTGATATTCTCAATGGTCTTGTAGTACGCGTGACTACTGTTTCGTTTGGGCTCACGTCGCCTGACACCACACGACGTAGCAATTATGGACCTCCGAATTATGCTTCTCCGCTACGAATCTCTCGCAGGCAGCTGTCGTCGCAATGTTCAGCGATACAAACTCAAGCCATAATGAACAGACTGGATGAAACGAATATTTTAATTAATTCATGCTAGTCTACTTCGCCAGAAAATTATGAAAAATTAATCCCACGCCCTATGGGATTTTTAAGCAACTGTTAATACATTTTAGCCACGCGTTTTATCTTTTTCTTTTCCGCGAAAAACTTATATTTTAACGAAATATTAAGAAAAGACGATATCGATCAAACTAACTTCAATCGTATACAAATAGTTTCACATAAAGTTTATCTTACATTACCAATGGAACATAAAAAATTAATCAATAAAATGTCTGCTGGGCCCCACTATGTCCTTCAACTTTATTTATATTTATACTATGTCGTTCGATTATTTGCCGTTATTTTGAAAAGCAAATTATCGCAAGTTGCACTACAAATCATACTTTTAGTTATGGAAAGTGTGTATCGTAGTAATGTAAATAATGCTATTTAAAAGCCCAACATACCAGGCAATAAAAATAATATTAAAATATTTCACTGAAAATTGATCTTTAAATATGGGAGGTCATAAGGAAAAATCACGTCAGCAGTCGCCCAACTCGTTTTAACCTTTTGCCCTTAGCCAAATGTGAGACGTGTTTAGCTATATTCACTCTGCCTACGTCGCCCCTACTCAAGCAAGCTTAATTAATTCTACTCTAGCCAACTCAACTCGTCGACAAGACGTCGCGACGCGTGCGAGCCACCATCTACCCATCCTCACTACTATACTCACCGCTACTTCCGTGTATTTCCGGCCCGATAATTGCACCGGCGGTGGGCGAAAACGTCAAGCCTCAGACTTTAGCTGTTACTTGCTGCCGACTGCTATTACTTCTTCTGCTACTTTTACCTTACGTTTGACACCAATTCTTCACCCCCTCTCTCCTCCCGCCCTCACTTTCTATATAGTGTATATATATATATATATATATATATATATATATATCTGACATTTTTCAGACTTTATTGAGAGAGGCTACATAGAAAAATCTATTCATCTGATCACTCAGTACTTAAAAATTAGTCTTCTTTTATTGATTCAAAGTCAGTATCTTCTTAATAATACAAAATATCTGTGTGATATATATTAACTAATTATCAATAAAAAAAATAGTTATAAACGTTTGCCTGCCGTAGTGAATGTTTTTGCAAGTTTGAGCAAATTCAAATTAATTTAACAAAAATAGAATGCATATTTATTACAAAAAGTACAAATATAAACTCAACTACACTTGATCATTACAACGAATTATAAATTATTAAAATATTTTTCTGTAAAAATAGCTAATAAAATTTTCATTCAAAATTGCTTTACATTACCAACTTATATTTGGTTTTATAATTTGTTTTTAGTCATTTTTACAGGTAATGAAATAAATTGGAAAATGTTATTCAATACTTTCTTTTAACTAATGAAGTCAAAGCAAAAATTAATATACTACTCACTTAATATATATATATATATATATATATACCTAACAGTCATGTAATCATAATATTTATTAGGCTCTTGGTAATCACAACTGAAGAATATTACATAAAATATAAAAACTATTAAAAATAACAAATTGAATTTAACATCAATTATTATCTTTAATTATCATACCTTTTATTAATGTATGAGCTTAGACTATTTGACGAAAAACAATATTCAGAAGCATATTATTTGCAACTATTAGTATATATATATATATATATATATATATATATGTATATACACACCAAATTAATAACTTTGTAAAAATTATAAATAGATAAATTAAACATTTTAGATATTTCAAGGTTAATATATTTATTATATTTAATTAGTCTACATTTATTTAATAATAAGACTGAATTCATTTTTAAAAGGAATGTACTATTTGGGTTAATCGTCAATAAATTAAAAATATTATTATTTCTAATAAAAATAAAAATAAATAAAAAAAGTGATGCTTTCTAAAAAAAAAAAAAACAAAAGAAGAGATATAAATGCGTTACTTGCATTAGTGAAATTAAGTAATTTAATTATTGTAATGATGAGATGCGAATCTTACTTGATTGTAAGGTCGCTTTCTATCTTCCTATCGATACATTTCTAAGAAAATGACCTTAAATTTTTCATCCTCTTGTTCATTGCGTGTTACAAACAATCAATACCATTATGGTATCCGTTTAATATATTCATTTGATTTACATTCGTAATTTAGAAAAAAAAATTATATATGTAGTTATGTATATATAATAGCATGAGAAGTGATTTTGTAAAGTGTAAATGTTAGATAATCAAATTTTTAATAACAACATTATCAAAATTAATTTTGAACTACTATTCTTTGGGTAACTAATGCTTTTATGAAACAATAAAATTTTATGAAATATCATAAGGGTTATTGTTCTACCTAATTGCTACAAGATAGTAGGTAATAATTTGAAAAATGAATTACAAGACTTCATTTCCTTGATTAATAGACGTCGATCGGGTACTTAAGCCCCTATTAAATTTCCAATATCACAGTTTTACAAGTATTAAATTAGTTGCCCAATGTGTCAAAAATAAATGAAAATTCTTTTCTCGTATTAATGTACGAGTAACTTAGATATGGACTACAATTTTCAGCGCTACAGAAAATGTTTGGAAAATAATGTTGTATTACGAAAGTTTCACATATTACTGATATAAATTTATCATATAAAATTCTGAACAAATATACTATAATTTAGTCCTATCAACTAGAATATTAATTCTAGTATATAACATTAATTGAAAAAAAATTTAATTACGACTATAATGTTTAAAGAATATGTAAATATAAATAATGAAATATACACATAATTAAATAATATTAAAAATGTATTATAATTTTTCTAATTAATTAAATGACATTAAAAATATATAGGCTAATTTACTTTATCAAGTAATATTTTGTATTTTCAATTATTCATTTTTCTATTTAATATTATAATTTATTTAATTATTTATCAATAATTATATAATTACATTATATGTAAAATATAATATTGTACTATGCGACAACAACAATACAAAAAAAACTTAATATATTTTGTTAAATTATATTACATTTTTTATATTTAATATTTTAATTTTTCTAATTATTCATTAATAATTATGTAATTATATAATATATTATTTAATATAATGAAAACCTTGATACATATAATATAATTAATTAAACAATATTAAAAATTTATATTGATAATCTTTATATTTAATAATATACGCATATTTAATTATTTATTTATTACAGTAATGCCTTATTAATTATATATTATCATATCTATTTTAATATTATTTTATTAATTATATTACTATAGTTAATAAATGTTATTACTAGTTAAACATGAATTTTATATTAACTTGGTAAGAAATATTTATTATACCGATAAAGTGTAAAATTATAAGCAATATATAGAAGGAACCGGAGGGATATGAAAAAATTACACATGGTTTTCAATCAATAAATATTTATTCTTTCTAATAATAGATCATAAAGCTAATTCCACGTCAATAACATTCCTCGTCAATAACATTTACATAGCAATCGAAATTTATATGTACAATATGCCAATTATATACATTATCTACTACTCTCACTAATATGTACAATTAATTGAGAAAATTATTCAAATACAATAAATGTAAACTTGGTACGTACAATCAATTTCTGTCAATATCGCTATATTTATAATTCGAAAGAGAAGGGCACGCATTTACACACTGTCAATGCTTTTGACAACGGGTCAAGGTAACTATTGTCTATATTGTTTTACGAAATTCCGCTGTACACGGATTTCTTATCACATAACGCTATTATTGACTTAAAAAACGGAACGATCATTTTTACCATACACCTTACATTATAGGTAGGCTCGAGTTCATGTTCGTTCGTGTTCACTTAAGTTCAGGTCTGTTCAAGTTCACAACGTTAAGCTGCGCCGGCTGACTTGCTCGTGCTTCTTGCGCTTTGGACTATCTTCATCCATACATCTTCGATGGTAATCCGAGGTGCCGATTGACATTGCTCCTCCAGCTCGTCGTCGTCGCTCGAATTCTCCAGAGCCGAAGATTCCTCCTCCAGCATGAACTCGTCCTCGGGTCTCATTGCCGATAGCCAGAAGTTCATGCCATCAACCTCCTCCGACTGGTCCGCATCGGTTGAAAGCAAGTGGTTAACCGGTTCCTCGATCATATGTTGGTTATGTCCGAGCATATTTCGCATATTCGCAATGTGGTTTACGAATTGCTTCAAATATTTCAAGGCCAGTTTTCCAGTATCATGGGAGTCCTGTTGGTTTTGCAGATTCATTCCATACTCGATCGACGTTGAGTTGTCGCTAATTTCCTCATTCTGCTCAGCCATTTCCAGGACCTCCTGCATGATCGCCTGCTGCTCGTCAATCGTTCGGTGCGGCAATTCCTGGTCGAGAATTTCTTGGAAGGCAGTGGACTGCATTTCGAGTTTCAGTATTTCAATGAACGATGCCATTTCAGGTGCTTATGCCGAAATGTACGACCTTATATTCCGCAATTGTTCACACCTTTAAAAACATAAATTATCATTTAATTAATCATCGCTTTTTCTTGATGAATATTTATAATACCTATATAATATAATATTTATAATATAATATAATTTATAATTATAATAATTTTTTTAAACATACCTTATATTGCAATTGGCTTATAAAGTGTCGTTGATTCGCACAATGTCATAAAATCAAGATCGACTGATGCACTATGGGTATATTGCACAAGTGTGAACACCGATAACTCAGGTAATCGATTGATACCTAAGACGATTTGCTCGAGCTTAAATAGATAGAGCGCGGTCAAACGATTATACAAGTTCGAACATGAATGACCCTTGGCGAAAAACTAAAAAACTATTGGCTGAAAGATATTAGATAAATTTTACCTCCTTCCTATTGGTCACTATTATAAATTCTTCGAAATCGAGATTTCTTCCCTTACACCTGGGCGATGTAAGGGCGCTTATCAAATCTTAGAATTTTGCCGCCTTGGTCTTCCGTGGCAAATCCAACGGAATTCAATAAAATCGTGCAATTAATTGAAAATGTTATGTTAGTTATTATATATTCATAAGAATATTATTATTCCATAAATTACAATTATAATTTCAAATATTAATTTATTAATAACATCTTCACTAATATTTATAATAAATTTGTTTTACATGATAAACGTAGCGTTACAATAAATTATTTAAATTTTCAACAATTGATGGAAAAGTAATATTTTTGTTGATCAACTTATTTTTACATACAATACGCGATATATATTGTTGTCACGATCATATTCGTGATATTTTTCATTACTGCGTCTTTTCATACATGCATCCTTGTGTAATTTAAAAAAAAAATTTTTTTAATATAAATCAACCGTGGATATGAGCTTATTCTAATAAATTATTCAGCAATAAACATTAAATTCTTTCTAAAAATTTTTTTAAATTATGTAACTTTTATAGAATTTCATCTATATTCCGATAAAATCCTGTATTTGATGGTAATTTTGTAAAATATGTAAGCTGTTCTTTTCGTCTTCGACCGTAACATTATGCTATAGTAAAATAAAATCTTTTTCGTCTGGATAATATAAAATATACTTGAAATTAATAAGTTATTATTTTATTTACAATTTTCTGTATAATATAAATACTGAATATTAAGGTTCTAAGTAATTCTAAATAACCATTTGATTTCAAGTTATTAAAAAATTTATATTGAAATGTTATATCTATTATGTATGTAAAACTATTATGTATGGCACACTATTTAACAATTAAATAATTGATATTGAAAAGATTGAATAAAAATTTTATCCAAAAATGTACGTATTATTTGTATAAGTTATAATAATCATAGTTTAAGTATGCTTTATAGCTGACTGTGTATGTTAACATAAAATTACTAGTCTATTGGCCCTTTATCGCTATTTCTAATTAAAAGTAGTTTTGCATTTCCACTATTTCAATTTTCTCTCTTAATTTTTAACTAAAACACTCTTTTAATTCAATAGGTTATTAATGAAAATTGCGAAACGTTTATAACTCTTCTTTTATTAATGGTTATTAATGAAAATTGCGAAACGTTTATAACTCTTCTTTTATTAATGTAATAATAATAACAATAATAACAACAACAACAACAACAACAACAACAACAATAATAATAAACATATCAATAACAGCAGAAAATGAAAAGTAAAAACAATCCAAATAATTAATTACAGTAATTTGATTCATTGCAATACGTAAATCGGATAGCGATTTCCATCAAAGTAATTTTTACGGTTGAGGCTGAAATTATAATTTAAGTGGTTTGTGCAATTAGGCGCTTCGGCCGTGGAAAGCTCCCGAAGATGCGTGCGTCTCTCGTAATGTTATTCGGTCTTGGTTACAAGTCAATTCGAAACTCATAAAAACCCGGGGACGTCCCCTCGCAATACAATGGAGTTGCGTCGCTGTGAAATCGAAAAATGAAGATCCGCATTTTGCCCCGTTCCCGTAAGCAAATCACACGAAATCCTGATCGCGTCATCGTTACCCGATCCCGACACTTTTCTGCAAATCCGTTTGCAACTATGTATGTAAGCCAGACGCAAAATTGGCTCCAGCACGCGGCCATTATCTCGCTAAACGAATTATCGTCAGCAGAGCGGGAGACAGCCGATATGAGAACGCCGGACCCCCCGTCAGGGTGACACCCGTCATGTACAAAAGGCCTCGGGAGTCAGCGATACGCTCCTTTGAATTCGTTATTCGACTGCGAGCTTCTTGTCTCCGAGCTTCCGATGTGCATTCACCTCCCTCCCACTCTCTGCCGTTCTGCCGATTTTTTATTACTTTTGTGCGATCGTTATTTTTTTAGCCGTCGTTAAACAGTTGGAGTCTGATTACCCAACTGATACTTTCTATTCTGCTTATTTCTTTCTGTCGCTCTGCATTAAGGGCCTGCATCCTACGCGCATCACCTCGTTCTATTATATACGACCTTTTGTCTATGATCTTTTTTAGATAGAGAAACTTATACACGAGCATTCGCACAACGACATAAATCTTACTACCTTTTACACTTACGAATACCACATATTCGACACATTGGAAATATGATCGCTCGCTCTGCCTACAAAGTATCTTAACGACCTTCGTTTCACCATCTGACTTTACGAGGCTTATTGCTTTTTAATATCATATCTAACTCGCCAACATATTCACATTATTGTTACATCCTACAATGCAAGTAGCCTTAAGAGCCGCGCAGCCAGCCCAATCAATGACGATATCCATCGTCGAAGCTTAAAAATCTTGAATGTACGAGAAATTAATATCTCTAAACAATTAAGGCCCCATATAAACATAATAATGATAATTGTTTATGAGAATTATTATGAAGTCGTCAAATTTTCAGCTATCCATTCGGCTGAAAGAAAAAGTAAATTGGAGCATTATTTAGGTTCCCAGGCAAGTACATGGGTTTATCAATACGCTCGAGAGCCTCTCAATCTCTACTAAACCGTCGCATACTCCGCATCATTTATCCTTCACTCAGCACCCCAGTTGCGCAGTTGCGAGCCACGACTCCTTTTTTCACAAACGAATGACACATAATGGATCGGGTCCCCTGTCGCCCCGTTCGTCATCACCAGCGCACTCGAGTAACTCGTTGTACACGGTTGCGACCGGTTTGTTATATTTCAAATTGGAAGCCGGCGCTGCCGCCGCCGCCGCTGACGCCGCAGCGGCGAACAAATTTAATTTTCAACATTGTCATGGACACTTTGCATCCCCCTGGTTGACGACCTAATGGAACAGCTATAATTATTCGAACTTTGGTGGGCTTGGCACTTGATGGGCGCTTAGATTTCGAGAAAATGCCCCATAGAAACCTAACTAAACGAGTGGATGAATCACCGTAGCTCGAATGGGATTCGTAGTTAAAAAGTCATCGGCTTTGTTTGCAGTTCGCTAAAGTTTACAAACTTCCAAGATCTCATATTAAGACAAATGCTGCCCGTTAAGCCCACTGCAGCATCAAAAAGCAATGAAATTAATTTTGTCGAAAAACAAAAAAAAAGGTGATTTAGGTAAGGTAATTAATTAATTGCGGTACATATAAATTCTTGACCGTTTTTCTTTTACCAATGATTCATATGCATGAAAAATTTTCGATTCAAACACGCGCCACTTATTGATTTAGTTTTTTAATTGTACGGACTCTCTGTAACACAATACATTTTTCCAAGAGCGAATGACCACTTTACTTAGCATGTATACTAGCTTTATAAACTTCATGAGCTCTCCATTCGTAATTTGTTAAAGAAAGACACAACCGAATTCTTGAAAATTACAATAGAATACAATCTTAATATGATTAGAGCAGCTTTCAGATTCATAATAAATACAATATTATATACCACATAAATATTATATTAATTTATTAGAGTCATTTAAATATTGAAAATAAGTGTATGCTATGAAATGACATTTGTTATGAAATATTTCTTGGAAATATTTATGTCAATAACTCCGTGAAACCTCGGTGCGCCTTTAAAAATAAATAAAAAACGGACGCCCTAATAAGTTAAAGTAAATTAACGATTAATACTGAAAGGGAATAAAGATCAAACGCAAATGCACCGATAAATTCAGATAAATTTCTTGGCAAGAGCAATCCAAGGTACATTGCACCAAAGCTGCCCTACTTGGCGAATAATATCGAATCCTAGACTTCTGTATTTCCTCATACACCACCACCACCACCCCCCTCCCCGCCCCGCCGCCGCTCAGTTCACCGGCGCCCTCCCCACCCCGTCCCTGTAACTCTCGCGCTCCAGAGCCCCTCCTCTTCGCCACTCGACCCGCAGTCGCTGTGACGTTCATCGAATTCTACACATACCTCCTTTGTAATAATTTCCGAGGCTCGGGTACTCGGAACGCAAGTTAAGAGCAATGCATCATAATCAGGTGGTCAACTTAGTCAGTGGGAGGGAGGAGCGTCGAGGGCCTCTAGATGCGCGCTTTGCGAACCGAAGTTAATTAGCTAATTAGTAATTTTAATCGGATGACGCATGCGCATCTTGGGGGATACAAGCAAACCCTCTTAGCGGACAATGGTAAAGCCATGGGAGGCAGACTGGAGGAGAGGGAAGTCCAGCGTAGTTTCCGTCCTGAGAAAAAGATAGTGCCGTCCTTTTCTTCTACCCCCCCCCCCAACG